AAACATAAATTATATTATCATGTTACAAATAGATATATGAAGTTAAAGTTGTATCATGCCTACACAAAAGACAAATTAGTCGAACAACGTCTAAATGACCCCAAATTTAGCCAAAGAGAGATTCATTGTAAGATGTATTAATGTTATGCATTAACGGGATTTTAAATTATGTTAATCGTACAAGTTACTTATAGATTTTCAAAGGTGAGTCATACTTGGAATGTACCGAGGACAAAAATGATTGTGTCAAATCTGCATTATTCCAAATTTCATGATTTTAGAACTTTGAATTAATCATGAATGACATGTTAATACAACTATGATATGCATTAATATTACTCGTCAACGAAAAGTAGATTATGTTATTCGTATAAGTTACAAATACATTTTGAAGAAGTGTTAAATCTGGACTATTCCAAGTGCGGATAAGTTATGTCAGTTTTGAATGATCCTATATTCAGTGCTTTTGGAATTTAAAAAATCAGAAATAATACAATTATATAACTGTGAGATGCATAACAGAAATATAACGAATTGAGTTAGAGGACTGTGCCAAGGACATATTAATTGTGCTAAGTCTGAACGATCCTATATATATAGTACCCTTCAAAACTTTGAAAAATCACGAAGGACAAATAATCTGATTTGAGATGCATTAAAGTTATGCACTGATGTGGACATAAATCTGATTTGGGTGATTATATTGGGGCGGAGAGTTGTGTTGAGTTTGTGGTGGATTTTAATGATCTCATGTCAGCAGCGGATAATTGAGGCGGATGAACACAGTGGAGGGTGATGAAGAAGGAAAAAAAGGAGTACCCTCCACCGATTTTGCTACACTGGCGATGGAAGATTAGTGATCAAGGAAAAAAGACTGAGAAGCCAAGAATATTTTGAAGCTCATAGGGCAAATGGGCGTCTTGTATTGAATTTAGTCATTGTAGACTACGAAGTTTTCGAGCATGCAGGAGATGAAGATGACATGAATGGAATTGAGGAATTTGATTGCAAAGAGAATGTGATTCAGCAAGATGGTGATGTGATGGAGGGTCAGGATGTGATGAAGGAAATCGTAGAACATGATCAGATGGTGAAGAATGTTGAAAATCTTCGAAAATGTCATGCGGTAATTTACAAAAATAAATAGCGAATAAATATTCGGGCAGAATTTCGACTTACAAAATTAGCGCAATAAATTAGATGGAGTGAGTTTGAAGGACTAGAAGCAGTTCCAACAATGGCTGTAATGAATGGTCCTCTAGAGCCATCATCTTTAACTACCACCAATGTGACAGATGCTCGTGATGATGCTTTCTTTGTGAACTTCTTCAGAGTATGTTGACCTTGCTTTCCTCCCCTTTTTTTTTTCAGGATTAAAAGATGAATTTAAATAGATTGCTTGATAGCTAATTAGTACTGAGTCGGAAAGATCAAATTGTTAGATATGTAATGCCCGGCGGGAACCTCATATCAAGTTGAAAATTTATCATATAATTATTAAAATAATATGAGATGTCATTATCTTGAATTCTACCAACAAGAATTTGCAATTCATATGTTCCTATTCTAATAGATAACTGTACAGTTAGAAACCTGCCCCATTGCACCTTTATTCCTTCCCCTTGCAACCTCCTTCCCAGTGACACAAGCATAGTTCTACATTCCACTTTCCACTCACCTGCAACAGCTGTACTTCTTCTCGTTCACCTAGTATCTTGTCATCCACTTTAGCAACTGTTCAGACTCCATCTCTTATCGCGACATCTACCCCTTTAATGCCTATTCTTGACACACCCAAACCCAACGATGTATCTAAGCATTCAACTGATCTGATAAAGCCCTAGTCATTTTTTGGTCCACCTCCCTCCTCTGCAACACTGATTATCCCTCCGGTCTCTTAGTCTGCACCAATTGCACACCTGCTTAATCCTCCAGGAAGTCTTTAGCGACCTTATTGTGCTCCTCTACTCCAGCCATTTCCACTACCAACTCCACCACCATCGCTCACTCCAACTTCTGTTCCTACACCAAATTATGGAACTGTTATAAGCAGAGAAAAAATTTGTGGCACTTCAGATGCTCATTCAGGCATTCTCTTAAATTGTCACTGGAGTTATTTGTTCTTAAGCAAAGTTTCTGGTCACGAGTTTAGTCAGTTAAAATTTGTGAACTTTCTTTTTCATCATGTCTGTACCTATTATGCTATTGGATGGTCTAAGCATACGTCATCTTCAGCTGTGCAAGCAATGACATTTATTTTACCAGCTTACATTAGAAACTTGCATACTTGATAGCTCTCAGATTGTATAGTGTTCACCCAATCATGCATTTATTGGTTCCCTTGCCGATGACATCAAAAATGAGAAAAACTTCCTGGGATATCAGGAATGCATCACCATATCAATCCATTGTCTACTTAGCCAAGCAACATCTCCTACGTTATAGTTATCATGGGAATTTTCTTTCAAAAGACCAAAATAATTTGTTTCAAAGTCATGTCCCATGGGCATACATTTTGAGGAATGGAGACATCATGAATGAATTTTACAGCATTCAAGCAAGCCATTCTCATATGAATGGATACCTTTGACATGAATACCACGCAGAGCAATGTTTCCCAATATTTTAGGAACAACACCAAGAACAATGTACAAGACCGAAAGCATTTGAATCCTTGGTACGAGTATAATAGGATCCATGTGCCAGAAAAGAATCTAAAGAACTTGATCATCATGATAAAGGTCTATCTTCTTGGCAGATAGCAGTATTCACTCCATTAGATTTTACATCATGATGATCATGTTTTTCAGATTCTTTTCTTGCTCATGGAGAACAAGGAGAAAAACAAAGAATTAGTGCTGTACTTCAATAATTCAATTAAGAAACAAGAAAAAAACAAAGAATTAATGCTGAATCATCAAAATTGATCTATCAAAAAATAATGAACAGTTAATTTTTACATCAGTAAACATTCAAAGTTAAAAATCTAATTCTGCAAGTACTATGATATCGTGTCATGTCTAGAACTCTAAATTCAAAACCGCATCATTCAAATCCCGGCGGGGGAGTTGAATTTAGGAAGAAACTACAGCAAGATTCAGAACTCGTCTCTTTGCCCGGTCAACATCTCCTCAAACACTCCGAGTTCACGCAATTCCATTCTTTCCAAGTTTTCATTGACCCACAAAATTCCCTCTCAGTTTTACCCATCTCTTCAACCACCGGATTGTGGGAAGCAGGATTCGAAACTTCATCTCTTAGCCCGGTCAGTATCTCCTCAAACGCTCCGAGTTCACGCAATTCCATTCTTTCCAAGTTTTCATTGACCCACCAAAATTCCCTCTCAGTTTTACCCGTCTCTTCAACCACCGGATTGTGGGAAGCACGATTCGAAACGTCATCTCTTAGCCTGGTCAGTATCTCCTCAAACGATCCGAGTTCACGCAATTCCATTCTTTCCAAGTTTTCATTGACCCGCCAAAATCCCCTCTCACTTTTACCCATCTCTTCAACCACCGGATTGTGGGCATCATCAAGAAACTGCCATCGATTCAAAATGGATTCCACAGAGGGTTCTCCAAAAGTGAAAAACTTGTTACCTGGAGATTGAATGACGATTGCTACATCTGTGCCGCACAATAGGCGCGTTTCCGCAGCCTTCTTGAAGAGACCCTTCCGCCTCTTGGAGAAAGAAACTTGTAAACTGGTTTTCTTGTCGATCTTTTGAATTTCGATCTTCCGCCTACCCTTCGTTTTCTTCTCCGGAATGCCGTTAGACATTGTCATGGCTCTGATTGATCTTTTGTTTGATGAAAGAACGAGTTCAATAGAGGGTTATATAGAGTTCGAGAACAGGGGGAGGAGAGACTGTGGTTATAATTTTGATTTAATTGTACGATAATCTCGAAATTCTTAACGTTAATAGTGCATAATGTTCCAATTCTAGTTTTGAAGTTGTTAACGGTAATTATTTAGGCGCGATAAAGCTTAATTACCCTCTCTTATTGGGTCCCAAATTCCTTATTTTTTTAAGAGAAATAGAATATTTAAAAAGAACTTCACAGAAAAAAAATAAAATCAATTATGTCTTCTTTGGCACGGATTAGAATCTATATTTTAATTTAAGTTAAAATCAACAACGAATTTTAATTACATATATTATGGGATCCACAAATTTTCAACTATACACAATTCATTAGCTTTTATCAAAATTTGTTAAAAATTTGATTTTTTTTCTCACAAAACAGGGGTTATAGACCGTATGGTGACCAGTAACGGATTTTAATGTTTTAAGGAGAGTGATTGATAACTTTCCATAAAAGCTTACTATTTCCATCGATTAATATGTTTGGTATGAGCTAACATACGAGTTTACAATATTCATTCCAGGTATATTACCTTCATTTATTTAGTTTTGTAATGTTATTTCTATATTTTTTTAAGGATGATTTAAAATATTAAAATTAAAAAATTAAAACTTCCGTACTCAACAATGCATTCTTGCAATGTTTTAATAAATTTTTTTTTATTTTTTAAAAATGGTTTAATGATTTAAAATCTTTTATATTTTTTATTAATATTTTAATAAAATGATTTAAAATATTAAAATAAAATATCAACGGTACTCAAAAGTGCTTTCTTACAATAGTAAAAAAAGCCTAAGTCTTGCTTTCCCTTAATATTTACTAGCGGAGCTGGACATTCTTTATTGTGGGTCAAAAATTAAGTTGCAAAACATTTAGCAACATAACATTAACAAAAATAATTAAATACATTATTATAAACATTATTTATGAGAGCATTGAGTTTGGAAATACTAGCATTGATGGTCATTATTATTTAAAAAAATATTTTGAATAGTGAGTTTTTATGAGAAAGTGTGGTTAAAAGTAAGGAAAAAATTTTGAATTTAAGTACAAAATATGTTATTGTCGTGTGAATGTGTGATTAAAAATAAATATGAGAAATAAATTGTTTTGTTTTAAAGATTCCAACAACATGATAAGTGAAATCATTTTTCAAACAATTCGTAATAGTTAGTGGTAAACAAAATTAAAGTATAAAAGTATCTCTTAGAAAATAACTTTGAAAGTACACAAATCACTTGTAAAAAAATAAATGAATGAAGTCCAACAAATATTAGAAATTACCTTTTAAAGTACGGTTACTATTCAATTTTTTTTTATTTTTTATTTTTAAGTTGAATAACAACTAGAAAATAACGTTGAAACTATAGTGGCCATTGAGCATTGAGACGTTTACTTGTAGGTTGATCACGAAGAGGGAAAAAAAATAAAAATAAAAATAAACTCAAAATTTCTATCCTTATACCTAGAAAACGTTGTATTTTTAATTAATTTCTACAATCTATTCTAATATAAGATTTTCATTATTTAATCTTTCGATAATAAGAAAGAGAAACAGTTCATAATCTATCAAACACGGCACAAAGGTATTGTAGAGAGAGTAGTGAAAAAGTGAAACAAGATACAACCCTACTCGACTACTCCACATAGAGAAAAGTAAAAAAAAAATTTAGTAAACAAAAAAAATTCAAAATATTTCTGTGAAGCTAGCTGATCCTCTATGATCACACCTAGATTTGCCCATGCTTGGTTCTACAGAAAAACATGTTACATGCCAGCTATAATTCGTTAAAACAAGTCAAATTTTTCTTGTTGAGAACTTAATTTGCTTTTACAAGAGACTCAAAATCTATGGAAATGAAGTCACAAGAATTGTGCACATATTCTTTACACAGCATTGAGTTTGTCTATAGAGTAAAGTGAAAATTCACATAGGATATATTTGACACATGGTAATCAACTAGATAGTATATAAGCTTTTCACTTAATTTTCTTCAATATAAGTCGACCCTACTCCAATCATCAAGAACGTATCAAGACAAGACATTTGAAAAATTTCCTCTAGCTATGATATAATGTCATTTTCAAATGTGCTGCATTTTAAGCATGTATATTCAAAATATGCTGCATACTACATGGTTGTTTCATTCAGTAAGAAAATGAACTCAATTTTCACTTTCTTCATATTCCCAAGTCATATCAAACATACTACGAGTTCTACCTTTGACAGTTGATACTGCAATCTCAAGACTCTAACATACTTGATCAATTATACTTTCACGCTAGAATGAGCGACCTCTGCCAATTTGTTCATTCTTCCACGTCATAATCATCTAAGTCGACGTGTACCTCTACCTATTTTCAAACTGTGCAATTTCGAACATGATAACCACTGTTTCAAAAAGTGGGATAAATTGAATTTTTCTCGAGGAAAGGCCAAGTCTTCTTCATACTCAAAGTGCTTTCCATCACTTTCTTGATCTTCTATGATAACATATCCATTAGCTCTTGCGTCGCAAGCATTTGATCTGTTAACAAAATGCATTTAATTTCATTTCTCATAAGGGGTATAAGAGCTACAGGCTTATACTTTACCAGTGCAGAAATAACGAAATGACATATTAATCGCTAGTAATAATCTCACATGAAGTGAATCTTACAGTGAGTGGTGTTCAGATACAACAAAGTGGTTTTCAGATTGGTGTCGAGCAAGTTTGTGGTCAATCCTCAAATGCTGGCTAAAACGAAGCTGTATTATCAAAGAAATGGCAATCATATAATGAATTCGAAAAATAAACCTCAGAATAGCATCTATGACATTTGCCTGGTGGAAAATATCAGTGCAGACTACACTTAACAAGCTACTAAAGTTCAGCTGAAGATTTTTTCAAATACAACGAGGTAATAACAATATGTTTAGCCATAGATTACACAACCATTGACTTATCATCAGTTAGCAGCAGGACTCGCGATAGTAGTCTCGTTGCAACGTTTATTGGCAGTTATTTTTCATATTTTGTACTACTTGGGAGATTAATGAGCATAAATGCAGCCACAATAAGCTAATACACGAAAGAAAAGATGATGGTGAAGTTCTGTGAGACTTTTTTTCACTGCATTCAGCTCTCAAATATGTATCTTTCTATGCCTAAAGTCATCTTTCTCTTACAGAAGTGATAAAAAATTGGTGGGGGCTCCCACTTGAGGCAAAGGTGAAGATGTTTATATTGGGACGCAAGATGCCAGAACTACACTTTCGTTGTTTTCAGAGAGCTTAGAAAATTGGGTAGCTTGAAAAACGATCCTAAAATGCTAAAGCAAAAAATAATAATCTGGTAGTCTCAGATCCTACTTCAATCTTTGAATTACAGAATTGTAGATTATGAAACTAACCTCATCACCATCTTTGATCCCATAACTTTGAAGGCAAGCTTTCTCATTGATTAGCTTTTGACCCTTGTAGCACAAACAGAAGTGGCTCCATATAAGTGACCTATTCATTCAATTGAGATCCCATTAAAAATTCAAATAAAATTATTCACTCTAGGTGTATTTTTGGCATTGCCGTAAATGGAATCGCACAAGCATATACAAGGAAGGTAGAGTTCAATTTGGTCTACAGTCTTTAAAGCATCCAACATTGTGTGTACATCAAAATATTTGAGTCAATAACTCTAAGAACCGCTCTAACCGAGTCAATACACATTAGAAACAATCATAATGTAGATTCATGGAAATTGTAATATAATGCAGAACCACTCTAATCGTCTTTCTTGGTTAAAAATTAACTGAACTTTAAATATTTTTCGAATATTCACTATACCTACAACAGTGTCTCATCTACCACTCCATCTCCTTCCATTTGAAAATTATCAACTTGAGTCACTCGATAACGCGTCAAATAGAATTGTTAATTTTTCGAACTAGACCCGGAGTGCCGATTGGGAAGCCACAGTTTCTCATCAATCACTCCATCTCCTTCTGTTTGAAAATTAACAACTTGATGACTCGTCAAATAGAATTGTTAATTTTTCAAACGGCCCGGAGTGACAATTGGGAAACCACATTAAAAAAATCTTAGCCACCACCACACACCAGACCAAAACGTTCTATTATTACATAATTAACAAAACAACCAAAATTGGATTAATATTTTGGTGGAGAGTCAGAGCCTAAGTTGTTATACACTTGTACATGTCAAGCCATCCACACACAAATAAATAAATAAATAAATAAATAAGCACAAATTCATGTCCACTATCATACCAGAAAATGTTGCCTTCATCCTCAGGTAAAACGCCATAAAATTCCTCCACTGCCAATTCTAGACTACCCACAGTAGCATTCTTTGATACATGAACGTCTGTAAAATACCATAAAATCGATATCACAAATAAGCAAAAACACCAAAATAATCACTTACAGAGAAAAGAAAAACTTGAAAAAATAATGGGTCGGATTAATTTACTAAAAGAAGAGCCATCCAATTTGAGAATAGAAATCTGAAGTAGCTGTTCAGGAAGCTTTTTGTACGATAGACTCCCAAGAGTAAACCCATTGTGATTGTACCGTGAAAATGGGGCTATTATTCTTGAAAATCGATTTTTTGTCTGAATTTTTTGTACAAGCATCATCATTAAATCTTATCTTTCGTGAAGAATGAATGTATTTAGAACACAGACAGGAAGACTTTTGGGGGCGAATATGGTATATGGATGGTACGGTCTGTTTTTTGAAAAGGGGGTGACCGTTATATTTATTGGAGGATCGTGAACGTTTGCTGGAGTATAGGGGAAAACGCTACGTAGTTTGCTACTCGCTTTTGGTAAGGAACACGTATAAAACTTACTAGGGAATTGCCTTCTATTTTTTGTGAATTGAATGTATCGAAAGTTGTTCTCTCTCTCACAATGTATGCGGGTCCTGTGTGAATATAAAAATTCCTAAATATGGTTCTCACCCCCTATTATGAGTAGTATGAAAAAAAAATTATGTATATGTAGTATTGTCCAAGATAGAAAGCTTCTCCATCTTTCACGTTGTGTGATTTTCAATTTTTGATCTTTAAAATTTTAGAATCGTACTATTTGTATATAAAAATGATACATAAAAAATTTCATAAGATGACGTGAATGGAAAATATTGAATGAAAAAATGACTGTATTTTAAAATAACAAATAATAGAGTGTTATATGACATTACGTAATAATACTTGATTTACACGTAGCAAACTCCAAAATCTTACATATCACTAATCATTAAAATTGAAATTATGGGTCATCTATTTTGTGGTTGTTTGACGCACTTTAATTTATTTTATGGTTTGTTACATGATTATTTTCAACCAAACATTTACATAATAAAATATTTTACACGTATACAAAAAAACTTTTCTCTTCTTTTTAACCACACATTTTCCTAAAAATTACTATTCAAAACTATTTTTCCTACAATAGTGGTTGTTAAACAGGCTCTTAGGACTTGTTTGATAAAAATTTTGTTTGTTAAAAAATAAATAAACTTTTTTTAATCGCATATTTTATTGAACCAACAATTTTTATCTACTTTTTCATCTTAGATTTCATGGACTACATCATACAACCCATTTTGAAGATGAGTATTGACGTGACCATAATATTCAATTAGAAGGATGATATTCCAAACGATTTAAAGATGAAGGTCAAAATCGTTAAAACTCTTAACGTTTATCTCCAATTTAACTTAGGCCCTGTTTGATTGTTAGAAATTTTCCATGGAAAATGAAAAATCAAATCCATTTTCGATCTTTTGGCTGTTTGATATCTCTTTTTTCCAAGGAATTCATTTTCTTGGTTGTTTCGGGAAGCAGCAATTTTCCAAGTTTTCCTGGAATTCGATTTCTCACCAATATGGTGAGAATTCAAATTTCAGGCCACTGTAGCGATTTTTTTTTCAATTTTTTTTTTTTTGGTTGACAATGGAAACAAATTTTAAGAATTATTAAATATTTTCCTTTAATTGACAATTTTCATGTAAAATAAAGTCAAACGAACACCAAAAAATAGATAATTTTCTTAAAAAAAATTTGTTGGTAATGGGAACAAATTTCATCCTCAATACTAGTAATTTTATCTCTTTAATTGATAATTTTCATGTAAAACAAAGTCAAACGAATATCAAAATATACTTTTATTTCAACATTTTTCTCGTGAAAAATTATACCAATTAAATACAATAATTTACAACTCCCAAGAAATCAATTTTTAAGTAATTCAATTCTTTGGAATTCGTTTTCTTTCCATCCAAATTTCATCTTTACAATCAAACGGACCTTTAAAGTCATATGCAGTTTCAACATTGTAATTAGCGATTTCGATCACATGGGACTCAAAGTTATAATTTTAAGAGGTTGGGATTCAAAATTTTCAGTTTAAAAAATTGGCGACCTATAACCTGACCATATGAAAAATAAAGAAGCTACTTGGAGATTTATGTTTTAACTTCGTAGATTTAGTCCCTGTTTGGTACAACTAAAATTCTAAGTAAAATCTAAGTTAAAATCAATAATTAATTATACCTACATATTTTATAGGACTAACAATTAATCAATGACACATTCTCTCTCTCTAGAGAGAGAGAGAGAGAGAGAGAGAGAGATCATTATCAAGGATTTTTAAGAAAATAATTTCGGTTACTTTCTTCACAAGACATGAAAGTTCAATTTCATGATAATATTTTAAAAAAAAAATCTTATAATTTATAATGATTTGATTATTAGAAAGATTAAGCATTTATCAATGATTAATTTTCGTTATTACCTAATGTTGGATATACGTCCTATATCTTGGGGTGGATCGAAGGTCTTATGACTTTCGTGGATTCAATCTTTGAGAGATGATGATTTTTAGGTTCCAAGAATTGCTAACTCATGATGGTTTAGTTAGCCTCTAGTTTTATCGAGAAAATTTATAATTTTATTATTGTTGATTATAGTGGAAGAATTAATTGGAGTTGGATTAGAGTATGTAAGCAAATTTTGTTTTCAATAATTGGATGATCATCATATTTTATTTACATAAAAATTGAAAAGCATAATTCCTATGTGCACTAATTAATCTGTTTTCCCAACGAGCAGTATTAGAGCGTCACGATGTCTAAATTATTTATTTATTTATTTTGTGTAATAAAATTTGTTCAAGATTACGAATTTGCCTTCGTAAAATTACTCAATTTGGAAATGAAAGCTTATATTGCATTAAATTGTTTCAGCAGGTTAAAGATCCAATAAAGCTAGAAAAATTGAGAAATGATGAATAGAAAATGTTACACATAAAGATGCTTCCACTATTAAATAATGGATTGAAGATAGTATTTTTCACCATATTGCTAAAGAAACCAAAAACAATGTCGTTTGGGAAAGTTAGAGAGTATGAATGAAAAGAATATATCAAAAATTAAAGCAACAGTAATTAAAAGGCTCCTGAATTTGAAGTACAAAGAAGGGCACAATATGGTAGAGCATGTAAGATATCTACCGTGTTATTAAATCAGATCAGTTGTCAACTATAAAGATGAGATGCATACACTTTTACTAATAAGTTCTTCATCTAATAATTGAGATACACTGATAATTTCTTAAGCAACTCAACACCAGATGAAAAACCCCATAGGCATGACACAGTGGTAAAGTAGGAGGGTTCTATACGAAGCATTGGAGTTTCGAATCCCCGCGGTAGCTGGAAGGCAACATTTATGTTAGAAGACAGTTGTCTTGTGAACGCAAAGTTACGGTGCGGTTTGTCGCACTTCCGAGGATCCTATCGGCACGTCGTAGAGGAAGGTTTACAGGAAGGAGAACTCATCCCGAATGTTCGGCCCAAGTGTGTATAACCGGAAACCGTATCTAGATTTACCTGGATGGTGAACCGGGGGGAAGACCGTCATTCCTCAAGATTAATCAAGCGAAACTTAGACGCTTGAGTTAAAAAAAAAAAAAAAAAAAAAAAAAAATAACCATGAATATGGTCAAAGGCAGTTCGCTCAACGAAGAAGTCAGAAAAAGGGAAAAAAGTGAATATTCTTGTGAGGCCCTTGTCACTAAACATTGTGTAAAGAGAGGAAAAAGTAAAAGCAGAAAGCCAACTGGTCACGAGAAAAATTTCTTCTAGAAGAAAGTCTAAATACAAAAGTAACGTCATGTGTGACCATTGCAACAAACTTAGACATAAAAAGACTGAATGCAGAATTTCAAAAAGGGAATAGAATATGTTAGGCCTCTAGTAACGAGTCTCCCAATCAAACTAAGGCCACATTCCACATCATCCGCCACGTCACACATCATAGCCGAGATTTTGATGTGTCGAGACGAATACCATACAAGTACGCAGGCCTAGGGCTCTGAAGTGACTCGGGTCGACACAAGTGATGATGAAGTGACACAGCTAGGAGAAACGCCCGTTAATACAAGTCACAATAGCATCTCGACACAATAGACAAAGAGATTTTTTTACACATATCTGTCCAAAATAAAATCTTTTGATTGATTAATGGGACATTTATGTAGTAGTCGTCAAAATATCAAGTGAAGATTATTCTGTCAAGAAGCATTAACTACCTACGACCTATGGAGTGACCGATTGACGTCTAAGAAGAGACGCTTCAAACCACAGATGAGGCCATGTGCCTCACATCTAATGGTCATTTCTTTATCTCTTTCTCTATAAATACCCATGATTAGTGTCATTATGAAGGTAATGCCACTCCCACCATATATATTACATTATTTCCTCCCCATCTTATAGTTATATCCATATTCTGACGGTTCTCACTATCGGAATTCCCAATTTTCATTTATTGCTTTACTGGTTTGATCGTCGGAGTACTTGTGGCCGCTTGCACTACCATCGAAAGAGGCCACAATTGACTACAGTATGTTATAGGTGTGTAGGGAGGAGCCTACATGGAACTGCTTTTTGTTGGCCATGTGCCAGGTCCATTTTTAAGGTCAACAGAATGAAGGAAAGACATGAAAATAGTCCAATACTATCCACTGGAAATGATATAGGCATTGTCATTGAAAATGATAGAATTGATTTTCATGCCAAGATAATGATTGGTTGATTGATTTTGGTGCATCTTTCCATGTTATCTCATGTGATTTTTTTAAAATGGAGAATAGTGAAATGTCAAGCATTGTTTGTTTTGGGCATATCTACTTCGAGATAAATCTTGGAAGCAACTTAGTACTAAAGGATGTCAGACATGATCCTAATATTCCCCAGTTTAATTTATACCAAAAGTTTAACGACAGTGGATATGATAAATTTCTCGATGGAGATAAATTTCAGCTTGCTAGAGGCTTTGTAATACCATAAAGCAAAGAAGACGAACACACTCTATATTAAGCAAATAAAGCATCACAAAGGACATTATTGCAATTGAAAAAGATGCAGACATTAACCTCTGGCACAAAAGGATTGGTCACGTTAGCGAGAAATGATTGTTAAATATATTAGTTTTATCCGAAGAGTAGATTAATCATTTTATTTATTTTATTGTAAGACTATTTAAAGCTTATTTTTTCTCTTGTATATTCGTTCAATTAATCAAGAAACCCTAGCCTCATTTATTATTTTCTCTCTATGCGTTGTATACTTAATTTTATGTGGTATTAGAGCCACCGTCTCATATAATTTTTTTTGATATTGTTGAAGAACGCTATATCTCATCATACAATATTTCCGGCTTCTACTAATTC